ATCATTCAGTGTTTTAACAAAATTGTCAAAAATACTTCACATCAGCATCTCAGACTGATACATTGTTGTTTCTGAGTTTCATGATTTTTAGAAGTAAATGTAACAAACAGTAAATGTATCATATCAGTGTTAAAATATTCTAATGTAGTTGTATTAATCATACTGATAGTAAATGTGTTATATCATATTGTAATATTGTATTTTCGTAGCAGTATTATTTATACTGATAGTAAATGTGTTATATCATATTGTAATATTGTATTTTCGTAGCACTATTATTTATACTGATAGTAAATGTGTTATATCATATTGCAATATTGTATTTTCGTAGCCCTATTATTTATACTGATAGTATATGTGTTATATCATATTGTAATATTGTATTTTTGTAGCACTATTATTTATACTGATAGTATATGTGTTATATCATATTGTAATATTGTATTTTTGTAGCACTATTATTTATACTGATAGTAAATGTGTTATGTCATATTGTAATATTGTATTTTCGTAGCACTATTAATTATACTGATAGTAAATGTGTTATATCATATTGTAATATTGTATTTTTGTAGCACTATTATTTATACTGATAGTAAATGTGTTATGTCATATTGTAATATTGTATTTTCGTAGCACTATTAATTATACTGATAGTAAATGTGTTATATCATATTGTAATATTGTATTTTTGTAGCACTATTAATCATACTAATAATTTATGTGTTATATTATCTTGTAATACTGCAGTTTTGTAATCATATCTAATCTTGTAATATTGTGCTTTATGTGAACTTTTAGTTGGAATTTGTTTTACAGAAACCCAATTACGTTTAAATGTCTTGATACTAAAGAACAAATTTGTATGGCTACAAATAAAAACTTAACTAATTAATGTTAAACATGCATGATATATTACAACTGTCTCACAAATAATCTATTTTCTTTTTTAAATGATTTTGTAGATTGAACTTCTCATTAAATGTGTCAGAAGTGTAACTGAATGAGTAATGAGAAACTTGTAAACAATCACATTATTTATCAGATCTGTGATACTTAAACTACTTTGAACATTATAAATATCTTCATTCCATCTGTAATCATATGTCTGTGTCGCTGCTATGATACAGAAAAATTCACCAGTCACATATCCTGGTTAGTGGTAGTGAAAATACACAAAACCATTCAAAAGGCAAGGCGTGTAGACCCCTACAATCATTTTTCCCAGTAAATGACATCATGAATTATTTGGTTACAGGTTCCAGAAACAGGATGTTTCCAGGTCTAATGAGGACCCATCTACAGATAGTTCTTAAGTACAGACAGAAACATAACCAGTTGAAGTTGGTTTTTAGGTACAGACAGAAACATAACCAGTTGAAGTTGGTTTTTAGGTACAGACAGAAACATAACCAGTTGAAGTTGTTTTTCAGGTACAGACAGGCACCAGTTACAGATAGTTCTTAGGTACAAACAGGAAAAAACAGTTATAGGTGGTTCTTAGGTACAGATGGAAAAAAGTTACAGGTGATTCATAGGTAAAGACAGACACCAGTTAATGGCAATTCTAAGGTACAAACAAAATCATTTACATGTATTTCTTATGTACGAACTTTAAAACAGTTACAGGTGGTCCCCAGGTAGACAGAAACTAGTCAAAGGTGATTTCTAGGTACATACACAGACCAACACTACTAACAGGTGAACTCCAGATCATTTAGACAGACATCACTTACAAGCAGTTACCATGATCAAAAGGTAACCAAGAATGAATGGTAACCAGGACCAGGTGGGTACAGGTAATTACCAAGAACAAGAGATTAATCAGAACAAATAGTTACCAGAAACAGGTGATTAAAAGTTCAAGTGATTACCAAGAACTGGTTATTTAATATGTATATACATCTCACCTATAAGTATACTACTATATGTAGTACAACTATAAAAGCAAATTACACAAAATGCACGTCCCTTACCAGCCCCACTGTTGTACTCTGGCATTAACCAAAATCAAAGTTATATCCACATTTACCAAATCTGTATCATTTCATAGATGATGTATTGCTTTAGGACCCAACAGAGGCGTAGCTATAATGTATGCTTGTATGCTTAAACATACACTCGAATTCCATTGAGATATATTTGCCCTACTTTTTTAACCTTACTGCACCCCTAGATCCCCTTAACCGGGGCTTCGCCCTTGGATCCTCTCTTGAAAGCATACACTCTTAAAAATGTTTTGCTACACCACTGCCCAAGAAACATGTCAAATGATGAACCACTTGTATCATTAAAATCTTACTTATTATTCATTAATTACAGTAGCTTGCATTATTGATCGTGGGCAATAATGAAAACGATGTCGTATTTAATTCACCACCATGACGAAATATTAAAACTAAATACGAAGTTGAAACCCACGTGTGCATGCAGCGTTGCACGTACATTTTCAAGTCGACATTCGTGCTGTCAGTGACATTTATAATAAGATTTAAATGTAAAATATGTACTTACAGAGTTTCTGTCAACTGGCTTTTTGAAATATTCCCGTTTACTTGCTGGAAGGGCATCATCTTGAGACAAGGACATATTCATTCACATAAATGAAGGTCGGGGATAGGGGCTACTCAAGTTGGCTCGTCTCTGTTGTTTATCATTAACATCATGATTATAACAAACGCGGAGGATTCCGGAGAGTTAATTACGGAACGAGTGGGGGATTGTACTCATAACGTTAATATTTAAACAACTAAATTTACAAAAGTAAAATTATATCATAAAAAAAATTAAAATTTATTATATTTAATATCCAATTCATATCAAACTGTGCCTTCTTTTAGGGACGTATGATATATATATATATATATATATATATATATATGTGTGTGTGTGTGTGTGTGTGTGTATATATATATATATATGTGTATATATTCGTCACATTTTCACTATATATACGTATATATATATATTAGTTAAGATTTTTTTGGCTCCTTCTAAAGAGGGCCTTCGGTGGCGTCCAACCAGCCGAAAGGTTTAAACTTTGTAATTCTTAAATTTGTTTCATGTATGTGATGTAACTACGTAATATACTATCTGGTGTCTAGATAAATGAGAGGATTGCCTCGAAAATGTGACAATTTACTAGTCGTATTGTCGTTATTACCGGCGCAACGAAATATCCAAAACTACTCAAAAATACCCCAAACTAGTAAGATGTATTCAGATGTGATAAATTTGCCACGTTTTGTGCTGAGTGTATTTCGTTCTCGTATCGAATTTAGCTGTATAGCGCCCATCCCCGTAACATCGGAATACGGACGGAAGATCAGTTTACGCTCCTTTACAATGTGACCATAATTGTTTAGGTATATCAGTTTGTGATTATGTGTAACTGTATAATTATCCGCTGTCAAATATTGTTCCTTGAAATACTGTTATAAATGTGAAAAAAATCATGATTATATATTACATGGATTGATAATAAACAAAGTTCAGTCTTACTCAAACCATAACTTCATCCTATATTGGAATTAAGTACAATAAGAACCATTTGATATTTAATAAAACGTTTTTTGCTATATTTTGATACAGTGCACAAAGTGCTTATCAATAAAATAATTCATTTTTCATGACTTTTACGAGAGTTGCCTCGAAATGACGTCTACATACAGGGTGATCTCATTACAAGGTTTGGTTTCGTTTTCTTGCAGAAATCGATACATCAGCCCAGAAACAAATAAATGAAGACATTACTTTCATATAATTACTAATGGTTCATGAAATTGATCTTTTCTCTATCATTTTATCATTCATTACCAAACTTCAAAATAATTTATTAAATAAGTATATATTCAAACCAGAAAATATCTTTTTAATTCCTGTAAATCTTTCAAATGTGAATTTGAAAAATACATATATCAATATATATAGTAATATTTCTATTATACTTTTTAAAATTTATTTCAATGATAAACGTATTTTAATATGAACCTGTCTTACATTTTTTATTCTGTTACTTTAACACATCTTATAAATTGTTAAGACAGAGCTGAGTCAAAATATAATCGGTGGACATTATTTATCATATTTATTAACATATCCATGTTAATCGGGAGATTAAGATTATTTACTTAAATAAATCATTGCCGATAATTATGTCTTTTTGTTGCTCTTTACGTGTCCCGATGTAGAGTAAATAAACACTATATACAGCCAAAACCGATCTGAGAGAGACGTAACTCACCACTAATGATGCCGCGGGTTAGCGTTATCTTTCATATTTGGAATATCTTTGAGTTTTTGGGTGATTGATAAGTCTTAGTAATTTTTGAGAAAGTTTTAGGGGTCTTTTTGTATGTTATGGTTGTTTTGGAGTGGCTTTCGATACGTTTTTTTGTTGGTTTGGGTGGTTTTGTGTAGTTTGGGGTAGCTTTTAGTGATAATGGGTAGTTTTGGGCGGTTTTAGGTGGTTTGGAATAAGTTTTGTGTGGTTTTGATAGTTTTGAGTGGTCGTGGGTAAATTTTGGATTGTGGTTGGTTTAGGGAACGTATTCGTAGGTTTTGGGTGGTTATGAGTATTTTTGGGTGGTTGTGATCAAGATTTGTGGTGTGTGTGTGTGTGTGTGTGTGTGTGTGTCAAAATATTACTTATATTTTAAGATGCTGACCATGTATTCTCCATATATCTGAAAAATTAATTACATCCAATTATCCTCACTCATCATTTTATGTATGAGCATTTTGATCAAAAGAATGCTAAAGCAAAAGTTACTAGGGGAAATATTTGTTTTGCGTGGCTTGCCTATTGGTTGTAATTTATAAAAATATCTTTTCCACAAAGATTCCGGTGTGTGCCGTTACCGTTAAACGGTATAAGTTTAGTTTCTCTTCCTTGCCGGTGTAGTGTTTACGTTACTTCTATGGCTGATACGGAATGGTTAATGCATCTTGTAGTGTACTTTTCACAGCCATTCATTAATTTTGAGTCCATAAACTCTTTACAATCTAGAGCATTTATTCCTTTTTCGCCAGGGGTTGCGTATCCCATGGGATCGTTGTAACAGGAAGCGGAAGTGAAAATGAAGAGGATGGGACAAAAATGGCGGCAATAATTTCGGGGCCTGTGCTAGCTTCATTATTTTATGATCAATCTCGTTGTTCTGGTGATCAGGTATGCATTAAGTTGACAAGTTTTTCATAAATGATTTACAAGAATTTTCTACATGTGAATGCAGTTTAATCGGTTTCACGGTAGTAGCAAATAAACGCAATTTAGATTCCTGACATAGCTTTGACAGTGACAGGTCGACTGACTCATCAGCTTGCAGGGTATAATATGTCGATACCACAGACGATTTTCTTGATAAACTGATGACAATTTGAACACGAGTTATTCACTGATCATGTCTTTACCGCGGTCAATATATTATAAATGCCATTTTATCAAACACAAAGTATGTAATTCTGAACCAATTAGGGTAATGGTGTTGCAATTATTTATTTTAACTTAAAAGGGTATGGTTAAAGGATATATCATGCAATTATGAAAAAAAACAGCATTTCATGGATCTATTTTAATAGAACTTGACTAATGATGTGACAAGTTTAGTGGTACTTTTTGGGTGTATACCTCCCCTCCTAGGCATGGACACAATTAGTAAAAATTCTGTTGTAAATACATTTACATCAAAACAAAGTGTCAAATGTAGTCTCTGTGACTCAGCTGCTGGAACACGCTTGTTTATCTATCATGGTAGTGCTGTGGATTATTATGCTAGACTCCTGAATTCCATTCCTCTCGGAGCAATAGGCAAGAATGTTTCCCCCCTTCTTTACCATTTGTGCCCAACAACACAGGTCGTGGTATTTATTTAATCTCAGGTTGAGATTGAGGAAATGTAAGTGTAAAATGATAGGGTCATAATATGGTCTCTGTCAATCAGTTGACAGAGCATGCTTCTTTAGTTCAGTTGGTAGAGTCAAAGATTATCACCCCAGAAATCCAGATTTGATTCTTTTCAAGGCACTCAGCAGACATGCATTTTACATTCTCGTTCACACACTGAAGTTTCAATTTTGGGGAAAATATAGGCCAAGAGTATAAACCTGAATCATTGCAGGATTTCTATATACAATAGTACTGATTACATGTGTTTTGTTGACAGGAGGGACTACTGATTGGTAAAGTAAGCCATTCTGTAAAGGATACCATCAGTGATTCTCAGATAAACAACTACAAGGTGGAAACAAAGTTATGTGAGTAAAGCATCAATATAAGAAAGACTAACTTTTTTCTAGTTTAGTGTTGACCATCAAGTTCATTTATGGTCACCTATTACCCATGTACTTCCTGTAAAAAAATAAAACAGTTTGAACTTGTATGCTACAGAGTACCTAGTCAGGTATATTACAGATAGGGCCATACAAATTAGCTACTGACATGAATAGAAAAAAAACAATGAAGAATTCCGAAGCAGTTTGAGCTTATACTTAAAACAGTTTGAACTTATATACTATAGAGTACCTAGCCAGGTATATTGCCGATAAGACCATACTATTTTAGCTACTGATACAAATTAAGAAAAGAAAAAATTCCGAGGTGCCTTTTAAATGTGAATTTGTGTATTCTCTGTCAATAATTGCAAAATGAATTGTCCAGGATTATAAGTGATGACTACATGGTTTATTTTTATTTACTTTTGTATATGTATATAAATAGATAGAATTTTTGAAACCTTACTTTTTCAGACATTTACTCATGCCATGAGCTACAAAGGGGTACAAATCAATCTAGAAAAGATCAGTTACAGAAATGCATTACAGAGCAGATAAAAATACACGGAGAGAAGGTTTGTAGAGTATCCAGCTATAGCCCCTCTTATTGTCTTTATTGATTAATGGTGCATGAAGTAATGAAAGATTGGTCATTAATCTCCAGCTTAGGGTGGTCAGGTAGTGCAGTTGTAATACACTTGTCTTTCAACTCAACGTCCAGGTTTTGATTCTCAGAATGGATGTGAAACCATAATCATAATCCATATTTATTGACATAATCAACCTTAAAGGAATTGTTACTGAAATATTTTGCAAAAGATTATAATTTCATTGACATCATATATTCCTTATGAAAATATGATTTGCTATTCCCAAATACACCTGATTTTTAGGACTTTGATATTTAAGTCCTGGATTCATGGACTCATGCACATGCTTTTCCTGTAGGACTTGCCCAAATTCTGAAGATCCATTATAACTCTTAGTAGTGTTTTGGACTAACTTGAAAAAAATCCTATAAAACTGAATGTATATATATATATATATACCAGTAATATTTGTAGGATTTCTTCAGAGAAGGTAAGAAAACCCATTTCCAAAATTTTATGTAGTAGGTTCTCAAAATTTAAACAATTTCCTCTGGAAAAAAAAATCTAAGGGTCATACATCAGAATGACAACATCAGTGTCTGGATACTTTTAGATATTGTACATGAATATTTCAAATGATTGATCTAATAGAGTATAACATAATATAACAGCAGAAATTCTAATGACACAAACCATACCTGACATTTAATATGAAGTACATTTGGTACCAGTTCCCAAAAAACACTTGTCAACATACATCGTTAATTTAAAACTACATATCCTGCAATAAGCTCAGGGGGCTGACATACTCTCTCTTCTCAAAGTCAAGGGATTGGTAAATACAGGATAGTGAAATAACATTTGTTGCTTAATATACTAATATATGACTTTGACTTGTTCCTAGCTTATTATGGTATTAACACGTTTGTGTTTATGTACAATCCCAAAATGAAGTATCAGATTTATTTATGTAGAACATGTAATTTATGTATAATCCCTCAGTGGTATATCAGATTTGTTTATTTAGTACATGTAATATATGTGCAATCCCCAAGTAATGTATTAGATTTATTTGTACATGTAATGTATGTACAAACACTCAGTGACAACTCACATTTATCTATGTAATATTACCACTGCTATAATATATTCCTGTATTTGTGCACAAGAGTGTTTCATGTATCTATTTTTTTTACCTGTAAGTTAAAATTGTACAGAAATAAACCTTGAAATTCTGACATCTAAATACAACAAGGAAAAACAAATAATGTAGATTTACAAGAAATACATTTGTACAAAAAATCATTGTAACCTATTAACAAGTATGTGATCTTTATGTTAAGTTTTGTATAAATTATATATACATTTGTATTAATTGAAAAGTGCTTCAGCTGATAGATACTTATTGATTAATTACCAACTGTTAGAGAAACATTGTAAAATATGACATCAGATTTTTCTTATTCATGGAAATCAGTCCAGAGATAACACTAACATTACCAGTCAGAGTCTTTTTATTTGATTGAGTTTTTTTGTATTTTCAGTGTATTGTGGGATGGTACCATTCTCGGAGGAACACAGCACCTCGTCTGTCTATGCGAGAGAGGAGCATACACCACACCTTAGTGAAATCTCTCTCCTCACAAGGGAGAGAGGACTTCTATTTCCTGCTGTGTACCTCCTCAAACACCCTAAACAGATCAACCCATAACTTTGATTTTGGTTTCTATAAACTGAACAAAGAGTAAGTGACATGTTAACTCACGATGAAGGGCAGAAATGAGATGAAAACTTAAAATAGGAAATGATAATCCAAGCAAAATTATAGGAGAAAAATCCACCCAAGAAATATGTTATTTATATTTTCATATCAACTGAAATGAAATGCTTTTCTTTTCTTCAGAGTGAAGTTTTCATTACAACTTAAAAGGGCACATTATTATAACATTCCTTCATGAACAATAACAATCTGTCTTCAACAGCAAATTTATAGCTAATCTATTAAATGTGGAAACATTTACCAGTGAAATACAGGCTAGAAATGGGTTCTTCATTGTTTTATTAGGTAGTAGGTCTATACTACTACCTGTTTCACCCTTTCTGTCAGGCTTTGTCAGGACCAATTAGATTTACTATGATACAACTGTGGTATTGACACCACTGTAGTTACATTGAATCTGTTTCAGTGATGCTGATTTTGCTAAAGTGCCAATAACAGTTGTTAACTTGGAGGATACTACCAATAACCAGTATAAATTAGACAGCACTTGTACAGCCTCTGCATCTTCAGGAATCTATGCCTCAGTCATCTCTAAGTTCCAGTAAGTGTGACATATGTTAGGTAGAAAACAGGCATGTGTTTACTGGGTCTTGATATTTATAGTATTTTATTGTTTATGTAAGAAAAAAAAGAAACATTCAAAAAAAAATCTTTAATTTCCCAAAAGGGTAGTGGTTGTAATTTATGTTTGTGTTTACGGTTGAATATATCAACAATTGGTGTGTGACACTTTAACTTATTTAATTGCATATTTAATAAGATATTATGTAACAAAAGTTTATTCACGAGTGTTTACTTGCTTGTTTTTTAACAGATCTGAAATCTTGGACAAATCAGGGCAGGTTCAGGAAGTGAAGAAAATCAGTAGCCTTGAGTCAACATTACAAGAAAAATTACAGGTAAATTCCTATTCCAACAGGTAAAGTAACCGGTAAGGCTTAACAGGTGTGCCTAACCTATCATAACAGGAAAAGTTACAAGTGAGACTAAACAGGTGCTCCTTACCTATCATAACAGGAAAAGTAACAGGAAAGACTAAACAGGTGCTCCTTACCTATCATAACAGTTAAAGTTACAGGTGAGACTAAACAGGGGTTCCTTACCTATCATAACAATTAAAGTTACAAGTGAGACTAAACAGGTGCTCCTTACCTATCATAACAGTTAAAGTTACAGGTGAGACTAAACAGGGGTTCCTTACCTATCATAACAGGAAAAGTAACAGGAAAGACTAAACAGGTGCTCCTTACCTATCATAACAGGAAAAGTTACATGAAAGACTAAATATAATATCTATTAGCTACTTAACTATTTGGTTTTCAGCTTTTGAAGGTCACCTTAGACTTTGTATCAGGGTGACCTATTGTATTCTCCTTTTGTCCATCGTCGTGCACTGCTTGTCTTGCGTTGTAAATTTTTAACATTTTCAACCTCAAATGGAAAACTCTTGAACCAATTTCAATGTAATTTCACAAAAACCTTCCACCAAACTTGTAAATTACATAGTCCCCAAACTACTTGTGTCTGAGGGGCGGTGGCAAAAAAATGTCAAATTGATTGAAACTTCAAAAATCTTCTCAAATCTGAGGTTTCTTAGAATCAAGTTTTCTTCATGAATGGAAAGACCTTCAGATGCTTTACCAAAATTGTAAATTTCATGACCCAAAGGTCTCATATCTCCCCAAAGGGAGGGGTAAATTTTACTATAGTTTATATAGGAAAATAACATTTTTGAACATTATTTTTTTATCTTTTGTTGGAATTAGTTCAAGCCTGATTAGAATTATTAGTTTAAAATGACAGTCTGATGAGGTGCACATATTGACCTTGGCTGACCTACCTGACATACCTAAATAATGTAGTACTAAATACTCTTCGTGGATGGAAGTTCCCTATGGTGCTTCATAAAAATTGTAAATTTCATGTCACCTAGGTCTCACATTTCCCCTCGGGGAAGGGATGAAATTTATTATATTTTTTGTAGGAAAATTACATTTTTGAGCATAATTTGTTTATTTTCTTTGTGAAATAGTTAAAACTTGGTTAGAAGTTTAGTATAAGCGGACAGTTTGATGAGATGCACAAATTGACCTTACTGACATCCAGTGGATGATGGACAGGGCCAAAAAAGGGTTTTCAAAGATGTCCTGTTCCTGGATGGAAGATTTCATAAAGAAAATTTCAAACGTTGAATTTTATTTCTTTTAATTCAAACTTGGTTAGAAACATTAGAAAAGGACAGCTGTTAATGCATACACAATATACATTTGCATTATGTGTACGGTATAGTTAATGTTACATTACTTTTTTAACAAAATCATTTCAATGGCAAGTTAAAGAAACATTGTGATTCAGGTGACAGTTAAGACCCTTTTTTCAGGAAAAGTTCAAATACAAGTGGTATAGATATGTATATGAAATAATTACTGATAATTCTTGTTTGCAGGATTTGACTCGTGGAGTAGATCAGAGTGAAAGAGAGTTGCATGCACTAGAACAAGAGGTAAGGCAGCGACGACAGTTGATTGAAGTGAAGCTGGAGAAGGAGAGAAACATGAAGACACATTCACAAACACCGCCACCAGCCTATGATGATAAACCCATTCTAAAAATCAGTTCTGTCACTCCAGAGGAGGCTGTCTCCATAGCTAAGCAGAAACGTAAGACTAAGATTTCTTATATTTGTTTACTCTGATATCAGTTTTTCAGTTAAGTCAATTGTTTATGTAAAAATAACCCTGATATTTATGAAAACACAAATATGTTTTCTTTATGTGCATTTTATTTTGTCTTTCAAGGTGAGCAAAGACGAAGAGAAAATAACAAATCTTTACTCCCGAATATGTCATCAGGACGACCTTCATCTGCCAAGTCAAAAACAGATCAGGTACACCCCTTGACACGCCGTCTTAGCTCAGAACTGGACGAGCCCTCAGCCACCCACAGTCATCGCCTTAGTGATGAGATAGCCTTTATAGATGAAGATGTACCTGAAGTTACTGATCATGAAGAAATGGATACCAAATCTGATGATGAATTAAAATCTGGTGAAAATCTGGAGGACCAGACAAATACTCAGGGGTCGGGGGTCATTTTGTTGCCTCATCAAGGTCAAACTGTGCAGTTAACATTACCTGACATGAATGTCCCAGAGATGAAAAGACAAACAATACCAACTGTCACATTAAACCATCCAGCAAAAACAGACTCTGTTAATAAGGATCATTTCTCATTTGTGAGTGGACTCTTAGCTGAAGAAAAAACAAAACCTGTAAAATCTAAAACAGTAGAAAACTCTAATAAACATGTAAATTCTATGTCTGTGCCAATTGGAGGCCACATTACTGCTCCACTGAAATCCTCTTCCCAGGCTGCAGCTGCTGTTGGTGCAGCAGTTGCAGCGGCTGCTAAAGGCAATAAAGATGAGGAATTATCTTGTCAGTCATCACGGTTACAAAAGCAGCAGCTCACAACAAGTGCTGTTTTAAATGTCAACAACAAAGGTCAAAGGTCAAGAGCAAAGCAAAGTCAACCACAGACTTCTCGGTCAAGGTCGAAAGAAGGAGGAAAAAGGAAAGACACAAGTGCTGTTTGTTTAGATCGCCCATCATCAAAGGACACAATGACAGGTGCAAAAAATAATCTAACTAATCATGATCAAGACTCTCAGAGTTCCTCTCATGCTGTGTGTAGGTTGGAAGCAAACATTGAACAGATGCAGAATTTTGAGGAAGATGAGACGGAAGATATCCATAAAATAAATGATCATGGACAATTAGACAATTTCAAGATATCATCGTCGCCTGTGTTTTAGATATCAGTCGCTAGAACAAACATTTGATAAGTGTTGTTGTGGTGTTGATGAATTTTACCTTTATAATGAACAGTGGCATGTTAGTCCTCAACTTTACTTTGATTATTGGATACCCTTTGGTAATACTGACATCTCTGACCACCAATCTATGTAAAACCTTGAGCTTGCATTGGTAGTGAGAATGCTTGTTGCTATTGTTTTGGTTGTGTCTTAAATTTCCTTCCAGTTACTAATTCTGTTATTTTTGTTACGTAATTTTGAAATATAGTTATGTGATTACATGTATTGATAAGTTTTGAAGGAAATTGAAGACCAATCACAGTTTGTAGTAAATGAAATGCTGTCTATTGTGTTGATGACTCTGTCACAAATTTTATTTGGGTAAATGTCTACCTTATAAAATAACTGTAATTTACCCATGTTGTGTGCAAGATGCTGAGGCTACGATCAAGAGAAAATAATATTGAAACATTGTGTTTTGACATTATGGCAGTACTATAAATGTTTGCTTTTTAAACTTACTGCGTTTATTCTGTGATAAGCCCATGCCTGGTAATTATCCCACCCTGATATGCACTTAAGTTAGCAACCAGTGATATTTCATTGTCCTTTAATATACTTACCCCCTAATGTTGAGTAAGAAGTAATATGTGGGACCCTAGGGGTCCATTAATAAGCCCATCCCCAAACTATGGGTAAGAGGAAATAAGTTGGGTCCATGGAGTCCTACAATAAGCCCATCCCTTAACTATGAGTCAGAAATAACGTTTAGGATTTAGGATAAATATGTGATAAAACTTGATGTAACATACCATTAGTATTTCTACCAATCCAGTTGATATTTCTTATTTACTTCATTCAGAACTGTTGGTCATTTTACTCAATGTACAGATGAAACAACAGCAGATTGTCTCGTTTTACTTTTTAATATATATTAAATATCTTTGGTATAGAAATACACAACTAACTACACCTTTGTTAGTGAGTTACTGTATTTAATTTTACACAGTCAAACTTTAGGGCATCATCACAGTTTTGGTAAACTAGGGCAATCACATTTTATCTAGATACATATACATTTAGAACAAAAAGTGCTCAAATAAGATTACTATTAAATATGTATCTGTATTTTTAAAGTATTTTTCATAGATCTCAGAAAATAGTTGTATACAGTATTCTATACTAAGTGGCATACAATCTTTGTTTTCCATCTATATGTCAGTGGAACAATGTGCTAAGGACCGTGTACTAAACCCTACACTTCCTTGATCAAGACATGGTTATTCTTTAAAAGTCTGATAAGTAATTAACGGTTTTAATTTTCGATACACTTTATAATTTCCTTATATGGAAGAATTCAAACAGGTATCTGTAAGTGATACTAAGATAAAGTGTTCCATCATTGTCCAGTTACAATGTATCTGTCCATTTAATGTATATATTGCCATGGCATTTAATGGAAAAGTGTCGCATATGATCTGTATATTTTATCCAGTGACATTCTGTGGTATAATACCCATGTAAAGATGTTGACTTCTGAACAAGAATTATACTAACATTAATGAGACTATTTGATATTTTTCTTTAGCAAATGATAATTTCTCTTTGATTGGGAGGGTAACTTGTTCAGAATTTATGAATGAGAGATAGTAAGACATGGGAGTATTTTGGTAAAGTTTTCCAATACACATATTTCACTGTATGCAGAGAAACATTTGTGTAGGGTATTTTTCACTTTTACATAAAACTTTTCATTTTGCCCATTGTTAGATTCGCTCTAAAATACATACACTATTTTCTGAATTATAAGCCACAACCTTTTTCCTCAAGCGTCAGTTATATGGCTTATTTGTGGATAAAAAGAACATCAGCAGTATGAAAATATTTTTAGTAGTAAAATCAAACATTTGCTCTTTTTGTGTTCTCCCTATTGGCAAAATAAATGATTTGAGAGTGACACCACAACAATAATTTCCCAGCATACAATATACACATTTTTCTTTCATACTGACATGATATTGATAACTGTTATTACAGATATCAGGTGAACAATTTGTAGCATAAATTGGTACTGGAGTTTAAACTGTTACCTCCTTTGCTAAGTAGAGCTTTAATGCAGGATTATAAAAATAGATTTTATGACATGTATGTAAATTGTAAAGCATTAGTAAATTTTCAATTAGGTGCTATGTTTATTGTTAAAGATTTAAATAAAACTCATCTATTGAAAATTTCTTGGTCAACTTTCAACTTTGAGAAAGAGATTAAATCAAGTTAAAGCAAACAAAATCATACACAGAGATATGTCTCAGATTCAATATAAGAAAGAATATTAAATGATATATATAATTTTAATATTTATGTCAATTGTAAATTGTTAAATTGTGTAGGTGAGAAAACATGTATCAGGTTTAACAGTGTATGTATGGGATCTTTGTTTTACCTCAAAGTATATGAATGGAGTCGGATATGAATACCCTCATATATGTCACAATATTAACCTAGGTACTACATTTATATTTTATACAAGAATGACTGGAAAGTCTGACCCAACCTTGATGTCTATATTATAGTTTTATAAGCCCACCTGGTCCAAAGGACAAGTCAGCTTATGACATACCACAGCATCCTGCATCCATCAACTTTTCTGTTCAAATTAGTACTAGTCATAAACAACTTGCAGATTTTGACCAAATGTGGTCCATGGGGGAAGGGGAAAAGATTTTGTATAAATCGTTGGCCTTGACCCCCAAGTGTCTGAGGAGCAGGGCCTAAATGGGAAATTTTGCAGCCTATTTAAAATCTTACTCCTCCTGAATGGACATGGACCAAATTTGGTCTGAATGCATGGGTTCTGTCCCAATTTGGTTTGAGGCATGCTTGATTGAAAGGGATCATTTTGAAATAGGGGTTGGTCTCAGCCCCAGGGGTTGGGCTAAATAGAGCAATTACAAAAAAAAAAAAAAAAACCTTCTGTTTGAATAATTCACTTTTCCCAAAAGTAGATCTATAATATTCTTGGATGACAAGAACTTTTACCTGTACTTTTCCTTCAGTTGGTGAAGAACTTTCAGCAAACAATGGGTCTTGTGTTCTAAACAAATTTGATTTTAGACAAAAGGAAATAAATGTGATTTTGTCAGTTAAATTTTTGTAACATATACTAAATCATATACCGATATGAAACACATTTGAATAGCATGTGTGACATATTGTTAGATTTGAGATGTAGCATATATATATATTTAAATTTGAAATTATGTAATATTTAATAACTTTATAACTAACATGAATATTTGTTTGTTAAAATCCAGAGTAGACTTCACTACAATTTCCTTATTATGTAGCGTTTTTTTTCTGACATCTTTATCTTCATATACAGAAAAAGTTAACAAATTGAAAAAAAGAAATGATGAGTATAATTACAGGATACACAAAAGATATTAATGTTTGATGATGTTAGAAATGATCCTTTAGAAAACTACATGGTATTACTATGTTGTAAGTATTTTTGTGTAAGGAATATTTATCTTGATACAAGGTCGTCACAACTGATTGGACTTGTTTTCTTTAATAATAACTTATATAATCAAAGAAATTTCTAAAACCTGAAAAATGTACGAACACAATGAATAATGTCATCAAAATACAATTCTAAACATTGTTTATTTTTCTTTTTGGTAATTTTAAACTATTTTGGCCTCCAGTAAGTGAGGTTTTTGCTCGACATGTTAATTAAAATTTTCACTCAACTTTGAAAGGATCCATGTCACACCATAACAGATTAACAGTATTTTAGATTCCATGTTTGATGCTAGAAAGGTTAAAAGGTCAGAAACTTACTATTTATATCTAAGTTGTATATATTTTTAGACATTATGAATTATCTAAGTTGAAAAATTTGAGCTATTATTGTGATTAAGATTTATAAATTTTTTTTATTGATGGTGCTTAACTTCTTGATATGCTTGTAAAAAAAGAGAGAATTAAGTAATTATTTATTTTGTACAAAGAGTTTTTTTTTTCAACTAAAATTACATGCTGTATTGATTCTTATAGGTATGTTAAAAGAGGAACATTGCTTTGGCTTTTCCTTAAAGACACTGCTGTAAAAGCTTTAACATGAGATGTTCAGAAATACAGGGCAAATGATACAAAGTTCAAAGCTTTTCTGTTAATATTTTGTCCAGAAGTATCTTCAATTCCACAAACAATTTTTAAAGAATGAGATTTTGTACTATACAGAAAGCTACAGAACAAATTTTTATTGATTCAATTTTTTTTTAATCCCAACTAACCCTTGTTATGCAGTGTTGGAGCAAATACCTTGCTTGTTGAAATGGGTTATCTCCCCTCCTCCATTATGGCACTGTCTGTTGGTGTTTTTCAAACGTCATTGATTTAGCTGTTCATGTACCATTTCCTCCTATATACACCTTTTGTCAAACAGTTAGCCAGCTGATAAGGAGTAAAATATGTTTTCATACAGAATCATGGAAGCCATTAAAATCCCAAACTAACACTTTATGGTTAATAACTCCTTATAATCTGAACTTTCACTTTGTTTGATTTTTTTTTTCATTTTAATAACGGGTATGTAAAGTAAGTTTACATGAGCAGGTGTTTTTTAATGCTCAATCTTCCCTATCTGTCCTGTCAGCTCATGACTACTAGTACTCATTGATGCTTCCTGAACATGCTTTCAAATATAGAGCCAGCGAGGTGATGTGCTTGTGTATATTTTTTTCAGATGTCTTGTTTAAGTTTTGTATAAATATTTGCTCCTAAATGGTTGTAAATGGCGATAATTCAAAAGTAAAGAATTGTACTTCACATGTCTGGTTGTTATTTTGTCAAACACCCAAACCCAGGTACCTCTACAAATAACTTGATACTTTTTAATAACATATTTTCACATCCAAGTAGTGTTTGTTGCAATTATGTTTCTAGAGTTTCATTTTTCTTACCGCTGTTCTTTCTCGTAAGTTAAGTAGAAGGAAACCAAGATTTTTTCATTAAGAAATGAAGCTGATATGGATTCCGTGTTTCATGTTTGCTTTGTGTTAATGAGGAAAGTATATCACATCAACTTCATTAATGTTTGAAACAGATGTTTGATATGAAGGTATGTTACTGAAAATAAGTGTATCAACAGATGTTCTGCTCTTACATAGTTACTTCCCTTTGTTTCACTTGGATGGTACAAGGAGAACCTTAACAGAAGATAGGGGTCAGGGATGCTATAAGTGGATTATTATGCTTCTCGAAGAGAGAGCATACAGTGGCTGCTTTGTCTGTCCGTCTGGCATAATTTTGTCCAGAGCATAACACAAAAAACAAAAAATATCAACATTAAAACTTAAAAATAGGTAGATAGATCTTAACAAGAAGGAGAGCAGTGCAAAAGAATCATTACTTTCTTATTGCCCTTTGTTATTTTTCATACTTTAATTTTGTTCCATTTGGGGAGCATAAGCCTTCAGGGTTACGTTTTCAGTTCAAATTTTGGTAGAAATATACAATTTTAGATGAGTTATGGCCCTCTGTACTTCACTTTTCCAGGCTTCTCTCCACGGTGTTTGCAGAAATTTGAAAATACCATCAATGATTTTTCCGCCATGAAGACATTTGTAGCCCACTATCATGACATGGGTGGCTATTCAAATCGCCTTACGTCTGTGGTCTGTCGTCCGTCTGTATTCAATTTTTGTTATTGTTATTTCTTGGGAAGTACTGAATGGATCTTTTTGAAATTTCATATGTAGGTTTCGCTAGTACCTAGTTGTGACCGTTTGATTTTTGACTGATAAAAAAAAATGGCTGACAGATGGCCACCTTAGATTTTTTCAATATAGTTTGTTATCACTATTTCTTGAAAAGTATTTGATGGATCTCTCCAATTTGATATGGGGTGTGATCAGATAAAGAAAATGGCCGACAAGCGGCCATTTGTTATAAATGTTTCTTGACAACTGCAGTATACATATTTATCAAATTTCCCTTGATCCCTAGTAGTGCCTGTTTGATTTTGATATTGGTCAGTAAAAGAAAATGGCCTACGGGTGGCCATCTTTGATTTTGACTTCGAAAGTTTGTCATTGACGGATCATTAAGATAATAATAATAATAATGAATTCTCAAATTTCATGTGTAGGTTCCTCTTGGTCCCTAGCTGTGACTTTTTGAGTTTGGGACTGAGCAGATAAAAAAGTATGGCAGACAGGCAACCACCACCTTGGATTTCGCCTAGTAAAGATTGTTTCCTTATTTCTTAAGAATTACTGAATAGATCTCAAATTTCTTAGTTATGTTCCCTTTGGTCTTTACTTGTGTCGGTTAGATTTTAAGACTGATCGGAAGAAAAAGATGGCTTCCAGGCGACCATTTTGGATTGGCAAGTAAAGATTATCATCGCTATTTATGCAAAGGAATGTTCTAATATCTTATAATTAAGAGCAAAAACAGAGAAGAGAAAAGATAAAAAAAAATGATGGGCGCCAAAATCCCTTTGGGATATGTTCTTGAGATCGGTTAAAGGTTAGGACCATAGGGACCTGAGAACTGGTAGAAGTATATCACAGTTTGTTACAGTGAGAAGGTTAGCACCACAGGGACCTGAGAACTGGTGGATGTATATCATGGTTTGTTACACCGAGAAGGTAAGGACCACAGGGACCTGAGAACTGGTGGATGTATATCATAGTTTGTTACACCGAGAAGGTTAGGACCACAGGCACCTGAGAACTGATGGAAACATATCACAGTTTGTTACAGTGAGAAGGTTAGGACCACAGGGACCTGAGAACTGGTGGAAGTATATCACAGTTTGTTACATTGAGAAGGTTAGCACCACAGGGACCTGAGAACTGGTGGATGTATATCATAGTTTGTTACAGTGAGAAGGTTAGCACCACAGGGACCTGAGAACTGGTGGATGTATATCATAGTTTGTTACAGTGAGAAGGTTAGCACCACAGGGACCTGAGAACTGGTGGATGTATGTCATAGTTTGTTACAGTGAGAAGGTAGGGACCTGAGAACTGGTGGAAACATATCACAGTTTGTTACACCATATCACAGTTTGTTACATTGAGAAGGTTAGCACCACAGGGACCTGAGAACTGGTGGATGTATATCATAGTTTGTTACAGTGAGAAGGTTAGGACCACAGGGACCTGAGAACTGGTGGAAGTATATCATGGTTTGTTACATTGAGAAGGTTAGCACCACAGGGACCTGAGAACTGGTGGATGTATATCACAGTTTGTTACAGTGAGAAGGTTAGGACCACAGGGACCTGAGAACTGGTGGAAACATATCACAGTTTGTTACAGTGAGAAGGTTAGGACCACAGGGACCTGAGAACTGGTGGATGTATATCACAGTTTGTTACAGTGAGAAGGTTAGGACCACAGGGACCTGAGAACTGATGGAAACATATCACAGTTTGTTACACCGAGAAGGTAGGGACCTGAGAACTGATGGAAACATATCACAGTTTGTTACATTAAGAAGGTTAACACCACAGGGACCTGAGAACTGGTAGAAATATATCACAGTTTGTTACAGTGAGAAGGTTAACACCACAGGGACCTGAGAACTGGTGGATGTATATCATAGTTTGTTACATTGAGAAGGTTAACACCACAGGAACCTGAGAACTGGTGGATGTATATCATAGTTTGTTACACCGAGAAGGTTAACACCACAGGGACCTGAGAACTGGTAGAAATATATCACAGTTTGTTACATTGAGAAGGTTAACACCACAGGGACCTGAGAACTGGTGGATGTATATCATAGTTTGTTACACCGAGAAGGTTAGGACCACAGGCACCTGAGAACTGGTGGATGTATGTCATAGTTTGTTACACCGAGAAGGTAGGGACCTGAGAACTGGTGGAAGTATATCACAGTTTGTTACACCGAGAAGGTTAACACCACAGGGACCTGAGAACTGATGGAAACATATGGTTTGTTACAGTGAGAAGGTTAGCACCACAGGGACCTGAGAACTGGTGGAAGTATATCACAGTTTGTTACACCGAGAAGGTTAACACCTGAGAACATGGGACCTGAGAACTGGTGGATGTATATCAAGTTTGTTACACCGAGAATAGGGACCTGAGAACTGGTGTATATCACAGTGTTACAGTGAGAAGGTTAGCACCACAGGGACCTGAGAACTGGTGGAAGTATATCACAGTTTGTTACAGTGAGAAGGTTAGGACCACAGGGACCTGAGAACTGGTGGATGTATATCATAGTTTGTTACTGGTGGATGTATGTCATAGTTTGTTACACCGAGAACAGGGACCTGAGAACTGGTGGATGTATATCACAGTTTGTTACAGTGAGAAGGTTAGGACCACAGGGACCTGAGAACTGGTGGATGTATATCATAGTTTGTTACAGTGAGAAGGTTAGGACCACAGGGACCTGAGAACTGGTGGATGTATATCATAGTTTGTTACAGTGAGAAGGTTAGCACCACAGGGACCTGAGAACTGGTGGATGTATATCATAGTTTGTTACAGTGAGAAGGTTAGGACCACAGGGACCTGAGAACTGGTGGATGTATATCATGGTTTGTTACATTAAGAAGGTTAACACCACAGGGACCTGAGAACTGGTGGATGTATATCATAGTTTGTTACACCGAGAAGGTAGGGACCTGAGAACTGGTGGATGTATATCATAGTTTGTTACACCGAGAAGGTAGGGACCTGAGAACTGGTGGATGTATATCATAGTTTGTTACACCGAGAAGGTAGGGACCTGAGAACTGGTGGAAGTATATCACAGTTTGTTACAGTGAGAAGGTTAGGACCACAGGGACCTGAGAACTGGTGGATGTATATCATGGTTTGTTACACCGAGAAGGTTAGCACCACAGGGACCTGAGAACTGGTGGAAACATATGGTTTGTTACATTGAGAAGGTTAGCACCACAGGGACCTGAGAACTGGTGGATGTATATCATGGTTTGTTACACCGAGAAGGTTAGCACCACAGGGACCTGAGAACTGGTGGATGTATATCATAGTTTGTTACAGTGAGAAGGTTAGGACCACAGGGACCTGAGAACTGGTGGATGTATATCATGGTTTGTTACACCGAGAAGGTTAGCACCACAGGGACCTGAGAACTGGTGGATGTATATCATAGTTTGTTACAGTGAGAAGGTTAGGACCACAGGGACCTGAGAACTGGTGGATGTATATCATAGTTTGTTACAGTGAGAAGGTTAGGACCACAGGGACCTGAGAACTGGTGGATGTATATCATAGTTTGTTACAGTGAGAAGGTTAGGACCACAGGGACCTGAGAACTGGTGGAAACATATCACAGTTTGTTACACCGAGAAGGTAGGGACCTGAGAACTGATGGAAACATATCACAGTTTGTTACAGTGAGAAGGTTAACACCACAGGGACCTGAGAACTGGTGGAAACATATCACAGTTTGTTACAGTGAGAAGGTTAACACCACAGGGACCTGAGAACTGGTGGAAACATATCACAGTTTGTTACAGTGAGAAGGTTAACACCACAGGGACCTGAGAACTTGTGGATGTATATCATAGTTTGTTACACCGAGAAGGTAAGGACCACAGGGACCTGAGACCTGGTGGAAACATTGTTTGTTACACTGAGAAGGTTAGCACCACAGGGACCTGAGAACTGGTAGAAGTATATCACAGTTTGTTACAGTGAGAAGGTTAGGACCACAGGGACCTGAGAACTGGTGGATGTATATCACAGTTTGTTACAGTGAGAAGGTTAGGATCATGGGGACATGGACGTTCGACATTGTAGGTACATTTTATCAGA